AAAAAAAAAAAAAAAGAAGGGGGAAAAAAGGTCCAATTCAAGGTATGTCTCTGCTGTTACTGGTAGACAACATAAGCAGAGTCCAGATCTGAGTTTGGAGTTTTGCCAAGTACAAAAGACTAAGAGACTAGAAATCAAGATAATGGAAGGGGAAAAAAAAAAAAAAAAGGAAGGACTGGGGATTTAGCTCAGTGATTCTGGCGCCTGCCTCACAAGAGCAAGGTCCTGAGTTTGATCCCCAGTACCAAAAAAAAAAAAAAAGGAAGGAGGAAACGGTGGACAAGGAGACAACCAAAGGGGATTAAGAAAAATTTTCAGAAGAATTACTTCACAGGAGGACTTGGACTCCCAGAATATCCAAGCTGAATTTCTGCCCCATGGCTTTACTGCCTAAGCCTCAGAGGTTGGGGGAGGCTCCAGGGCACACAGCTCATCAATGTGCAGCGCGTGTAGCTCGCCTCTCCTTCCTGCCCCAGCCAGGGCTCTGTGACCACACGACACTGCTGCCTCTGCCTCCCCGCCCTCCCACAGAGTGGCCCCTGCTCACCTTGGCCCCCCGCCCTGCCATGCCATAGCGAGTCAGGGCAATGGTGCCTTGGAGGTTGATGCCCTGGTTGAATAGGTACTGGAAGTCGTCTTCCGTGCCATGGTTGGCATAGATGAGGAGGCCCTATGCCCAAGAGGAGGGATCCTTAGAACTCAGCCCAGCGAGGGCAGGTGGGAAAAGGGGCTGGGAGGCTGGTAGCAGGAGGAAGGATTTAGGTTCTGTCTCTCCATCTCAACCAGAGATGTAAGGACAGTCACTATGGTTTCCTTTCTTTCCGGTGCCCTGTATCAGCCCTATCCTTGAGCAGGGACCACTAGTGTTTGAGTGACTAACACTCACTGAACATGGGGGAACGGAGGAGGGACAGAGTGTAAAGGTGAGTAATTTCAGTGGAGGGGATGCTGAGCCCCACTTAAAGCACTTTTCCTCAGATGCCCTGGGGTTCAGTAGGGAGAAGCCTGTGTGGGAACTAGGGGGATCCAGGCCATGGCAAGGGGGGACTCCAGGCTCACCTGTGGGGTTCCAGGGGGTGCATAGGCCGCATAGGGTTGCACCACATCAGGCCCGCCCTGCTCCCCGGTCACATTCTCCTCTTTCGGTAGGTAGGAGTGGAGAACAGCTCCATCGGGACCCACTGTGGAGGGGGCAGAGTCAGGGCCACCCCAACAGCTCCCCTCACCGACCCCAGACTTCACACACCAGGCAGGGCCTCACCAACTTCAATGAGGTTGGGGTGCTCCGGGCTGGGGAAGGACAGCAGCACCTCGTACTCCACAGTCCTGGCCTCATCCAGGCCCGACACTTGGTCACCCCAGCGCTGAAGCAGCAGCTGCACCAGGGCCTCATCTCTTGGGCTGGAGGCCAAGTGGGGCTGCTGGGAGAGCTCTCTTCGGGGTGGCAGAGGGAGGGCAGCCACATCAGCAAAGGGCTGCTGGGCAACAGGAGGAGTGGGCAGACCCATCACTCACCGAAGGTTCTCCCGGATCTTGCTGGCATCCAGCTGTTTCATGAGAGTCTCAAGGGTCTCCAGGTCCAGGTCCTGGGGGGCTGGCTGCTCAGCCCCTTTGGGTATGGCAAAGTGGCCCAGGATGATCCCCAGCCCCAAGAGGGCAGCTGCCCCTACCCCTAGCCCTACCACCTTCACCCACTGCATCCTGGGGAGCCTGGGCCAGCGAGGGGCTTGGTTGGAGACTCCTTATAGATGGGGCGTCATGGGTAAGTTAACCATTATCCCTCAGGTAATGCTGCCCTTTGGTCCCCAGATGGTAGGACGGGAACACCCCGAGACAGAGCCCAGAGCTGTCACATGGAACACATTTACATCTTTCCCCTAGAAGGGACCCTAGAGGACACCGAGACAATGTGGGGACATCAAGGCCCAGAAAAGGAATGGTATCATCCAGATTCTCCCCATAAAACATACACCAAACCATATGCCTGTTGACCACCACCATCACCTGTGTCTCCCCCGGGGCCGCTCATTCATTCATTCTTTCCTTTTGGGGGGGGGGTACCGGGGATCGAACTCGGGTCCTTGTGCTTGCGAGGCAGGTGGCGGAACCACTGAGTTAAATTCCTGGTCCTCTTTCTTTCTTTCTCTCTTTCTCTCTTTCTTTCTTTCTTTCTTTCTTCCTTTCTTCCTTTCTTCCTTTCTTCCTTCCTTCTTTCCTTCCTTCCTTTCCTTCTTTCTTTTTTTGAGACAGGGTCTCACTATGTGGTTCAAACTGGCCTTGAACTCACTATGTAGCCCAGGTTGGTCTTGAACTTGTGGTGATCCTCCTGCCTCAGCCTCCTGAGTGCTGGGATTACAGCCATGCACACCATGCCCAGCCCCAGTGTCATTTCATTTCCAGCACAGCCAGTCCTATCTGGTTGAGCTGGTTTTCAGTTTGAATCTCATCTTGCTCAACATAAGCTGTGTGACGTTGGGCAATTCATCAAGCTTCTCTGAGTCTGTTTTCTTAGCTGTAAAATGGGGATACTGGGGTCAGGTGTGATGGTGCACACCTGTAATCCCAGCACTCGGAAGACTGAGACAGGAGGATCGTCATGAGTTTGAAGCCAGCCTGAGTGATGCGGTGTGTTCAAGGCCAGCCTGAACTATATAGCAAGATGCTGTCTGAAAATTTTTTTAAAAACAAGAGCCAGGCGTGGTGATACATGCCTGTAATCCCAGCACTCAGGAGGCTGAGGCAGGAGGAGTGGTGTGAGTTCAAGGCCACCCAAGACTACATAGTGAGTTCAAGGCCAGCCTGAACAACAAATTGAGACCCTGTCTCAAAAAAAAATTTAATGGGTATACTATACCTAGCTCACAAAACTGTGGTACTATCTTCATGAAACAAGGTGGAATCTGTAGAAATATCTAGTTCAGTAGTATCTGGTGTGCAGTGGGAGCTCAGTAACTTTTAGTCACTTCTCCTTTCTCTAAAACATAAATGCCAGAGCCAAAGAAAGAAAGTGACCCAGAAGACTTCTCTGTTTATCCTGAAGGGTCCCAGCTTACGTGGAGGTGAGGCTCTTGGAAAAGGAGGTGGTTTCAGGAGACGTAGCAGGAAGTCCAGACCTCCTTGGCAAGATAACTTCTTCTTCCAACCTCTGGCCCTAGTGGAATCCATCCATTCACCCCTCCATTCACCCTTTCTCCCTGGCTCCCTTCCTGGCCCTCCCTTCCACTCATCCATCCCTCCCTCTCTCCATCTATCTATCCATCCATTCATCCATCAGCCATCCGCCCATCCACTCACCCTCCCATTCTTCCCTCTGTTCATTTACGCACTCCTTCACTTACACATGCCAGTCTTGTTCATCATTTGCCCTATGCTAGGTCCATGCCCACCCCTGGGGAAGCAAAGTCCAGCAGGAGAGACAGGCAGGTTTGATGATTATCAGCACGCACAAAATGACCCTGGATCTTATCAGCAGCCCATCAGCATGGGGAGCACACACCCTCCTTATCAAGTCCCCACCAGGTGGGCAGCAGGTGGCCAAGGTCGGCCAACAAGCTGAGAAACGATGTGGCAGCGGCACAAGGCAGAAGCTGCGCCTCCTCCGGGATACACTGGGACCTTTGAACACATGAAGAAGTCACAGCACACCTGAACAAGTGTGTGACATCTGAGGGGGTGCAACTGCATTGTATGCGTCATTTGTCTGAGAGTGTGTGGTTGTCGGTGTGAGCAACGTGATAAACCAGCTTGGGCTGATGGAGTCAGCTGGTGTCCACACTGCTGTCAGACACAGACTTGGTCATTTTCCTCCTCTCATCTCAAGGTGGCACCACCCCTTCCTGGGCGGTCTGGACTGGGTGCTGCTGCAGAGCACTTCAGGGAGCCAAGGCACGTGAACACTTTTCCTCCTCCCCTCCCTCCTGCCTCCACTCTGGGCCCAGAGCTTTCCAGTGCCCCAGGACCACTGCCCTCACTGCTGTCTTCCCCCTCGCCCCTCCTTCCCTGGCCCCCATCAGCCCTTGGGGAAAGCCACAGTGGTCACACTGGCCTGCTCTGCACCTGTGCCCTAGCCCCTGAATGCGCCCTTAGCACCCCATGACCTTGCAGATTGGGCTTAGGTGGACCTCACTCTCCCACACCCCTAGAGGACAATTTTACACCCTCTCCTCTCTTCTCAAACCCTGACACCTTCCCCCTCTCCAGCCCACTCAGCCCACCCAAGCTTCCTATGATGCTAAGAAAAACGGGCAGTTGGAGGCAGCTCCCAGCCACGGCCATGTCCTTGGCCTTCTCTCCTAGTGTGGTGGTCGAATGGTCTTCACCGTTTAAAGCCAGCTCTACCCTGACACTCTAGCCCAGCCCCTTTGTGACCCCAAACCTGGCTCTGGCAAGTCTCCCCACTTCCTCCTACTCCTCTGCTTTTTTCTTTAGTAGATCATTCCCATGCACCCAGAACACCCATGTATAGTGTTTACCGCCACTTTTTAAAAAGTATCTTAAAAGCTTGGTGTGGTGGAGCATGCCTCTAACCCCAATTACCCATGAGACTGAGGCAGGAGGATCACAAGTTCAAGACCCTCCTAAGCAACTTAGTGAAACTCTGTCTCAAAATAAATTTTAAAATGGCTGGCTGGCTGTGGTGACACATGCCTGCAATCCCAGCACTCAGAAGGCTGAGGCAGGAGGGTTGCTGCAAGCTCGAGACCAGCCAGCCTGGGCAACATAGTGAGTTCAAGGCCAGTCTGAACTACATAGTGAGACCCTGTCTCAAAAAAAAAAAAAAGGTTGTGTCAGCACTCTGAGAGGCTGAGGGAGTAGGATTGCAATTTTGATCCCAGCCTGGGAAATTTAGCAATTTAGTGAGAACTTTTCACAAAATTTGAAAGAAAGATTAGGAATGTGGCTCTGGTTTAATGGTAAGGCACTTTCCTACCATGTGGCAGGCCCTGGCCAAACCTCAATATTGGGGGGGGGGGACTCTCTTAATCCCACTTGCTCCTCCAGTAACTCCCACCCTTCTGTTTCCTTTTTGTCCTTCAAAGTCTAGGCTGACCCAGTTTCTCCTTTCTCATTCTCTGCAAACCTCTCTTGTTCAGGCTCTACCCACCACTCTACTGCCCTTGAAAAGGTCAACTTTCTCCATGTTGCTAAATCCAGTGGTCCTTCTGTCTTCTTGGATGAGCTGGCAGAAACATGTGTTACAGCTGGTCACCTGGACCTCCTTAAGCCTCTGGTCTCTTGGTTTCCAGGGCCTCAAAACCATCCATTGGTCCCTCCCCCTTTGTGGCTACTCTGTTTTGGTTGGGAATCCTCTATTGCCTGGCTTCTTAGTGTCACAGTGACCCAGGGGTCAGGGCCTGGCTATTTTCTCTATTGATACCAGACTAATGGGTTTTAATACTGTGTTGGCACCCAAGACAGATCCAAAGAATACCATAGAAATTAGAGTGTGACTTTCAAGGTTAGGTCTTAAAATTGTTGCTTCTGCATGGCTCTTTCTTGGATCATTTTCCAGATGTCATATTTTGAGGATACGCAAGCAGCCTTCAGAAGACTGAAGCCCCTAGCTGGGCGTGGTGGTACATGGCCATAATCCCAGCACTCTGGGAGGCTGAGGCAGGAGGATTCCAAATTTGACCCCCAGCCTGGGCAATTAGTGACTTAGTGAGACCCTGCCTCCAAATTTAAAATAAAAAGGGTTGGGGATGTAGCTCAGTGTGGAAGCCCTGGGTTCAATATCCAGCACCTCCCCTCCCCCCAAAAAGAACAATATTGCATCCCTGCTGACATCTCTATTGCAACTTTGCAAAAGACCCTGAACCTAGAGCACCCAACCAATCCACTTTCCAATTCCTAACCCATGGAAACTGAGATAATAAATGCTTATGACTTTAATCCTTCAGGTTTTGGATTAATTTGTTACACACCAATAGCTAACTAATACAAATTACCAAATATAGACTGAAAATCCACATCTTGATGTTTCCCTCACTAAGTAGTTAAAAGGAAAAACAACACACCAAAAACCTGAAGTAGCCTCGTTGTCTAGTTGCATAAGAATTGTTTTTCAGGTTTCTGAAAATTATGCCTCACCTCTCCACATATGATCTCTCTTTCTCTCTCTCTTCCCCTTTACCTTTGGATCTTGGGGTACATAGTGAGGCTCCCCAGGGCTGAACACATCCTCTTGGTGGCTAAGCAATGGGCACAGCCCTTGTACCTTCCCTCCCTGAGTGCCTGAACCTCCAAGCTTCTCCAGGCTGGAGGGTGTGGCTCTCAGGCCCTTGGGGAGTTCCCATTACCTCTTTTGTCTGCACCCTATGACCTACAAAGAAGAAGAGTGGACTTAGCCAGGGTCACAAGATGGGTAGTGGCTCTTCCCATTCCTCCCTGATATCTCTGTGCACTTTGGAGTCTGAGCAGCCATCTTGGTCCTCCCGGGGAGGGTTGTGGCCCCCCTTCCTGTCCCACCTGGGGCTTATCACAGGAACATAGCTCGGAGTGAGTCTGATGCCAAGGCCAAGGGTACAGGGAGCAGATCAGGGTAGTGGGAATGAGGGAGGTAGGGGAACTAGGGGGTGGCCCAGAGACTGAGCTTGCCTCAGAGCTGGTGGCTGCCTGCCCCCCACAGGCATCCCAGGCCCACAGACACTCGGGGCAGCAGGTGGAACTGCAGCTTAGCTGGGAAGTTTATTGTTAGGCTGATAGGGTGGTTTCCAGAGGAGGTGTCAGGTCCCTGGACTGAGGCCTGGGCAGGGCTGACTGGTTTCCATGTACTTGGGGAAGGTCAGGTGGCAGAAGGAGTGGCACTGCCCTCTGGCAGCTGGGGGGCTGCAGGCAAAGGTGCAGGAACTTGATCTTGAGGTGCTGGGCAGGAGGCCCCACATCTTATCCTTTCCCACTGTAGCTGCCCACTACCTGCCCAGCCAGGGCTTCCTCCTGAGTGTCCTTCACTTCTTCCTGCCAGGCCTGCATTTCCTCCTTCAGCTTCTCATACAGGCAGCTGGGCTGGAACAAAGGGGCAGGAAGCTGGGCTGGGAGATAGGGAGAAGAAGGCTGGGGTGGGGGTTGGGGGACAGGCAGCCCAGGGCTAGGGGCTTACCAGGTTTTGCAGCTTCTCTCCCAGGGCCAGATTGTCTGCTTGGGTGGTGCTCAGTGCCTCTCGAAGCCTATGGTTGAAGGAGGTTGAAGGTTGGGTGCTTGTCCCAGCCCTGCCCTGTCTACTCTTCCATCAGCTTTGTGACCTGGCACAGCCACCTGGGACTGTGTTGCACTAAGAGCCTAGTTTTTCGACACCACTGTTGGAGAGGAAACTGTCTGCTCTTGTGACTGGAAGCAGGGGCCCAGACCCACTAATTCTGCTTTTCCTCTTTAGTAGGAGGGCAGGCTGCTTCATCACATGGGCAAGGCTACAAACCCGTGGAGGTCCCCTCAGAAAAGGATGGTGGCAGAGGGCTGGCCACCCTTCAGCTGTAGCAGGCTTGTGACAGGATTGTGTGGTTCCAGGCTGGTGAGAAGGTGAACCCCATAATCTGCTCTGCCCAGATGCTTCACCAGGTGAGCTGCATGAATGGAAGCTCCCAACACTCAGGCCCATGGGCAAGGGTGCCTGCAGCAGTACTGGAGGAGACCCAGGAGGAGACCCTCTCCCAGGACTTCTGTTGCCACAGAAGGGCAAACAGCCATGGGGTTGTGCAGACCCAAGCCCCAGAGCCTAAGGCAGAGGATAGGCCCCTCCCCACACCTCTCCACTTCTTGGACAACTAAAGGCAAGGGGCCCTGATGGACAGCTGCTGGACTGCCAACCATGCAGGCAATGAGCCAGGCCAGTCAGGCCATCTACATAGTAGATTGAAAGGGAAGAGCCATGGCCTTGGCTGTGACCCTCACATCTACAGGGCAGGACACTGCTGCTTGTCAGGTGAGGGACCTGCTAGCAAGGAGGTCACCTAGGGAGGACAGAATAGGAAGGCAAAGGAGAAGAGGTCAGGACCTAAGAACCAGGCCTGGCTTGTGGGGAACATCTCATTGCTCTACAGGCCTCAAACTGCCCCGCCTCGCTCACCTCATGCAAACATTCTGCAAACACTTCATCTCCTCTGAGGTCCGCTGTGGGCCCCAGTCTTGCTGACTGAGGAACTGGCTCTCCTGGATCTGCAGGAGTCCCCAGACAGGTGGGCAACGAGGGCTGGATCACCCCCAGCCAGAGGCCCTGGCTTCTCAGTCCTGGCGCAGGTGTGAATGTTCCTGAGGGGAAGAAGCCTCCTGCATGTCATACACAGATGCCCATCCACACTCGCATGAACACACACTCATACTCACACACAGCCTTTCGATTCAGGGTCGCTGGGCTCCGGTGTGCTCAGGGATGTAAACAGGAACATGAAGCTTTCTGGCTGCAGGTCTGGCTTTTGCTCTGAACAAAGTGACTTTGCAGAGAAGGTGCCGTGGTAAATGAAGTGGCACATGGCTGCTTTCCCAAGAGCCCAGGTCCCCCGCCCTCCTGTTCATGCTGTCCCTCTAACCCCACTTTGTTTTTGGTGGTGGTGGTACTTGGGATTGGACCCCAGGCCGTTCACTGAGCCACATCCCTAGCCAAATGACTAAGTGGCCCAGGCTGGGCTCCAACATGCAATCCTCCTAGCTCAGCCTCCCAGGGGGCTAGGATTACAAGTGTGCACACCCACACTGGCTACATCTTTTTGCTTTTTAGGGATGGTCCTCAGTGTCCCCCTAGTCTGTGGAGGGAGGTGGAGGCAGAAGTTACAAATGAGAGTGTTTCAAGAGACCCTCCAGCCGAGAAACCACCCTTTGCCTTGGCCCAGGAACTGGGCCAAGACTCCCCAGCAGCTAGAGATGCAGCAAGAGGGGCCGCAATGATGGGAGCTGAGGCAGAGCTTCTCCAGCCCCTGCCCTTGCCCCCCACCTTGGGAGGCCCAAGGGTGTGCTGTCACCTCCATGTTCGATTCCCTGGAGACCTGAGGTTCTTCAGGCTGCTGTACCTCAACAGGCTGCACCACTGGCTTCAAGGCCCGCCCACTGTGCGTTCCTTCTCGGCCCCTGGAAGGCTGAGGAAGACCCAGGCTGGTTGGCAACTACATCCACCATCTTATCTGCCTGCCCTTTCCAGCCTGGTCTGATTTCACTAGGGCAGCATTTGGCTGGGGAACCAGATCTCTCAAAGCTAGTTGCCAGGCTGGGCATGGTGGCACACACCTGTAATCCTAGCACTTGGGAGGCTGAGGCAGGAGAATTGCTGTGAATGTGAGGCCAGGCTGAACTCCACAGTGAGTTCAAGGCCAGCCTGAACTACATAGTGAAACCTTGTCTCAACAAAAAAAGGGAGGGAGTGTGTGTGCCTGGGATGTGGCTAGGTGCAAAGGCCCTGGGTTCAATTCCCAGTACCACATAGAAAAAAAAGAAAAATAGAGTACTTTTTTAGCATAGCCTCTGCAAGGTAATTATTCATTATCTGAAATGTGAATTTAACCAGCTGTCCTGTATTTTATCTGGCAATTCTACCAAAGCTACATGTGAATTATGTTTTATAATCCATGTCTCTACAAATTTAAGGTGTATGTCTATGAGGGGATGATGGGGAGGACAATATTTAAACGAATTCCATAGTTTGTTTGTTTAAAAACAGGGTCTGGCTATGTAGTTCAGGCTGACCTCAAACTCACTATGTAGCCTAGGCTGACCTTGAATTCACGGCGATCCTCCTGCCTCAGCCTCCTGAGTCCTGGGCTTACAGCTGTGCACCACCAGTCTGGTCCCCCATAGAAGTTTTGTAAAAAGTTGGAGAATCCCTTCCACTTTGGTTGTAGGAATCATCTGTCAGATGGACCCTGAGAAGTTCATCAAAAGACAAAGTAACTAGTGTGGCATTCAAGACCCTCTGATATGAAGGCTCTTATTTTCTAAACCACTTAACTTTCCACCACCTTCCTACAAGTCTCTACCCACATCAGCTGGGAGCCTTGCTTCCTGCCATCCTTCCTCCTGCCCCTCCCCTGGGACACTGTGAGGCAGTGGAGCTGGGCTCAGCTTGCAGACATTCCCATCCCTAGAGGCGGTGTGTGACATTCCACAGACAGGGGGAGAAACAGCAGCTTCTCCCCAAGGCTCCCCCACAAGTGTGAAGTGGCCTGTGGCTCCCTGCTTGCCCCTCCTGTCCTCCTCCTGCTTCTTTCTGTGCCACTGTGATGGTGCCCATGAATGTACTGGCTGATGCTCTCAAAAGAATCAATGAAGCTGGCAGTGATGGTGCACACCTGTGATCCCAGCACTTTGGGAGGCTGAAATAGGGAGATCACAAGTGTGAACTCAGCCTGGGCAATTTAGTGACTTAGTGAGACTGTCTCAAAATTTAAAAAATGAGAAAAGGGCTGGGATTGTAGGTTTAATCCCCAGTACTACAAGGCGAGAGAGAGACAGGCAAATACCAGGTTCTTACTACATTTTGCTCCAAAGTCATCTTCCAGTTCCTAATGGTGATAAAGCATAGGTAACCTGGCAAGTGTGAATTTTTTTTTTTTTTTTGGTACCAGGGATCAAACTTGGGACCTTGCACTTGTGAAGCAGGCAGCAGCACCACTGAGCTAAATCCCTGGCCCAACTGTTAAATTCTTTTTTTTTTTGAGGGGGTACCAGGTATGGAACTCAGGACCTTGTGCTTTTGAGGCAGGTGGCAGCACCACTGAGCTAAATCCCCGGCCCCAAATATTAAATTCTTGATGCTCACAGAGCTGGGAAAACTGTGAAACTCACAGTCAGGCTAAACAAGTTGGAGTGATTAATCCCAGGTTGGATGTGTAACTCAAAAGATCTAGGAGAACAGCAGAGTCATCTATTCCTGTCAGTTTGGTTTCACGGTGCTGATGACCTCACCTGGCATCATGAACCCCAAAGAGGCAAGACAAAAACACACTGGAGGGAAACTCCTGCAATTCTTTTCCTATTCTTGTACATTTACATTATAAATATAAATACATATGTATGATTGATTGATTGTAGTACTGAGGATTGAACCTAGGGCCTTTGCATTGAGCTACATTTTCAGGCCTTTTTATTTTTGTTTTTTAGACAGGGTCTCACTATGTACTTCAGGCTGGCCTTGAACTCACTAGGGTACCCAGGCTGGCCTTGAACTCACAGTGATCCTCCTGCCTCAGCCTCCCAAGTGCTGAGATTACAGGCATGTGCTACCATGGCCAGCTTATTTTTCTTTATTTTTGAGACAGGATCTGCTAAATTGCTAAATTGCTCAGCCTGTACTTGGACTTGTGATCTTTCTGCCCCCCCCCCCCCAGAGTGCCAGGATTACAGGCATGTGCCACCACACCTGGCAAAATATTATAAATTATAGTTTATATAAATACATTAATGGAAAAAATAGTCCTTAGCCAACTGACAGGAGGGGCTGGGGATGTAGCTCAGTGGTGGAGCACTTATGTAAACTCTAGATTCAATCCCCAGTGTCCCCCTCACCCCCAAAAAAGACAAGATTGTCACTCTTTCCCCTCAGATGTTTCAGAATTCTCCATCTGCTGATCAAGTGATTAGGGACAGCCTAATTTGAGGGCAGTTGGTGATCTCAGATGTAGTCCTTCAATGAGCTCCACCTAAGCCTCTGAGACTCATGTGTGGGTGGCTTCTATATAATTAATGTGCTCTGTGTTGTGCAGAGCCTTTCTGGGTGCCCTAAGGTCAAACAGTGCCTGTGTACACGGTGGAGACGCCTCCATAGAGGCCCCCATCCATCACCCATCACCCCGGGGACTTGCTCCAGGGAGGGATGGCTGCTCAGAAGCAGGCTAGGAGGGCTGGGGATTTAGCTCAACGGTTCCGCCACCTGCCTTGCAAGAGTAAGGACCTGAGTTTGATCCCTGGTACCAAATAAAAAAAAAGAAGCAGGCAAGTAAACCAGCCACTGAGAATTGCCGTTTGCAAACTAGGTCTAAAGAAACATCTCCAAAGATAATAAAAATTGTGTGGGCTGGGGATGGAGCTCAGGGGCCAAGTGCTTGCCTAGCATATGCAAGGCTCTGGGTTCAATCCTCAGTACTGTGGAAAAAGAAATAAATATCATTCACACAGAGAGATATCCACAGCAGCTGACTTACACCGTGAGGGAAAACTGAAGTGGTCTAAAGGGCTAACTACAAGAAAAGGTAAATAAAAGATGATATAGTAACAGGACAACAGGACAGGACGCAGTTCACTCCTGCACTCACTGATCCCCAGTAAACGCCGCTGACCAGTCACTGTCTGTGGCATGAGCCTTGAGCCGGACCCAGAACAGATGAACAGGACCCAGTTTATTTTTCTAAAATAAATTTTACTTTATCCCATTCCCCTCCTCAATCCTCCTGCCCTCCCTATGTATGAAAGTATTTTCTCCATTTTCACCTTTCTTCTTGTCCCTTTCTTTTCTCCCTCCTCCCTTGTTCCCCTCCCCATTTGAACATTTTCTTCCTATTTCCCAATATCCATTATACACCTTAGTCCTTATTTCCACTTTCAGTTTCTCACACCAGAGAAATAATGTGGTATTTACATGTGTGTTCAATTTACTTCACTTAGGAGTATAGTCTCAAGGTCCATTCATTTAGTTATAAATGTCTGAAGCTCATCTTCCTTCTCCTCCTCTTTTTTTTTTTTTTGGTACCAGGGATCAAACTCAGGACTTTGTGCTTGCAAGGCAGGTGTGGTGCCACTGAGCTAAATTCCCGTCCCAAGCTCATCCTTCTTTATGACAGAGTAATACTCCATTGTATAAAAATACATCTTTATCCACTCATCAATTGATGGGCATTTGGGGTGTTTCCAAGATTTAGCTATCACAAACTGCACTGCTATAAACATGGGTGTGCATATATTGCTGCGGTATGATGCTTTTTTTTTGGTACCAGGGATTGAACTTGGGTCCTTGCACTTTGCGCAGCAGGCGGCGAAACCACTGAGCTAAATCCCCAGCCCTGTGGTACTGTGGTATGATGCTTTTAATTTTTTTTTTTAACAATAGCTAAGATTTATTAAACCTTACATCAAACCGGGTATTACGCTTTTAATTCTTTTAAAAAGATATCAAGAAGAGGTATAGCTGGGTCAAATGGAACCTCTAGTTTTAGTGTTTTGAGAATCTCCACACTGATTTCCACAATGGTTGTACCAGTCTGCACTCCCACCAACAGTGGAGGTTTCCTTTTTCCTCATAGCCCCTCCAGCATTTGCTATTGCTTTCTTGATAGCAGCCATTCTTTCTGGAGTGAGATGGAATCTCAGCGTTGTTTTCATTTCCATTTCACAAATGACCAGTGATGTTGAACATTTTTTCATTTTTTATTTTTTTGCCATTTCTTATTCATCTGAGAAGTGTCTTTTCATTTCAGATCCCCATTTTTGGATTAGGTCTTTAAATCTGGGAGGGGGGTCTTTTTTTTTTTTAGTTCTTTATATATTCTAGATAATAGTGCTTTATCTGATGAATAGCTGGTGAAAAATTTTGGGGGGGCTATCTCTTCACTCTGTTGGTTTTTCTTGCTGAACAAAAGCTTTTTAATAAGATGCGGTCCCAGTTGTTGATTCTTTGTAGTATTTCCCATGTGGTCTGGGTTTTGTTCATGAAGTCTTTGCCTACTCCTATGTCCTCAAGCATTCTGCTTATTCTCTCTTCCAGTGGATTTAGGGTTTGTTTTAATATTTATATTTTTGATTCACTTTAATTTTAGGTGTTTGGTGAAAGATATGGGTCTAGTTTCAATCTTCGGCATGTGGAAAGCCAGTTTTTCCAGTACCATTTATTAAAGAGGCTATCTTTCAGTGAAGCTGTTTGGCTCCTTTGTCAAAGACAAGGTGGCTGATGGGATGGGGATTTAGCTCAGTGGTGCCGCCACCTGCCTTGCAAGTGCAAGGTGCTGAGTTCAATCCCGGTACCAAAAAAAAGATAAGGTGGCTGAGTATGTCTGGAGTTGTTTCTGCATCTTTTAATCTGTTCCATTGATCTTCAGATCTGTTCTTTTGCCAGTATCATGTTTTTATCACAGTAGCTTTGTAGTATAATTTAGTCATGGATTGTGATAACCCCACCTTGCCTTTGCTGCCAAGAATTGCCTTTGCTATTCTAGGTCTTGTTTCCAAATGAATTTTAGGGTGTTTTTTGTTGTTTTGCCTGGACCAGGCATCGGAACCACTGAGCTAAACCCCTGGCCCCTAGGATTGTTTTTTCTAATTCTGTGAGATATGCTGTTGGAATTTTGATTGGGATTGCATTGAATCTATATATCAATTTTGGAAGTATGATAATATAGATTGGTTCTTCCAATCCAAAAATAAGGGATATCCTTCCACTTTCTGATATCCTCTTCAATCTCCTTTTTCAGAGTACTGTAGTTTTCAACATAGAGGTCTTTTACTTCATTAGATTGATTCTTAGGTATTTCAGGGGGGTTTTGGGGATGCTATTGTGAGAGACTGTTTCTCTAATTTCTCTCTCAATGAATCTGTTATTCGTGTACAGGAAGGCTATTGATTTTTGAGTGTTGACCTTGGATCCAGCTATGCCACTGAATTTAGTTATCAAATCTAGAAGTCTTTTGGTGCAGTTTTTGGGGTCCTCTATGTAGAGTATCATGTCATCCACAAATAATAATTTTAACTTCTTCTTTTGCTATCCTTATTCATTTCTTTCTTGTTTTGTTTTGGTACCAGGGATTGAACTTGGGACCTTGCGCTTCCGTGGCAGGCGCTGGAACCACTAAGCTAAATCCCCGGCCCCATTTCTTTCTTTTGTCTAATTACTCTGGCTAGTTTCCAGAACTATATTGAACAAGAGTGGTGACAGTGGACATCCTCATCTTGTTCCTGATTTTAGAGTAAAAGCTTTCAGTTTTTGCAGGACCCACTTTAGTAAGCTCCAGGGGATGTCCCAGGTTCAGATGACCATAGTGCAGGGTGTGTTCACAGAGGAGTGTACAGAAAGCCCAGCTGCTGGTAGCACAGGCCTGTAATCTTGACTACTCAGGAGGATGAGGCAGGAGGACTGCAAGTTTGAGGTTAGCCTGGGCAGTTCAGCAAGACCCTGTCTCAAAAATGCTTTAAAAGAACTGAGAATGTTGGGTGCAGTAGTACACACCTGTAGTCCCAGCACTTGGGAGGCTGAGGCCAGAGGATTGCCATGAGTTCAAAGCCAGCCTGGACTAGTGTTTCAAAACACACAAACACACAAGCTGAGAATATAGCTCAGTTGTAGAACATCTGCCTGGCATGTGTGAGAACCTGAATTCAATCAGTTCAACCCAGAACTGAGGGAAAAAAACCAACAAAAAACAAAAAAACGCCCAGTTCCAAGAAGTTGCCACAAACTCCACCACAGAGTTCCAGAAGACAGCACCAAGCAGGTGCTACTTGATCTCACGAGTAGGAAGTCCTGGCCAGAGGACAAAGGACCATCCAGAAGGGAGAGTGTAAGCAGAGGCAGGATGGTGCAGGAGGGTATGGGGAGTTCTTCCTGGGACACAGGATGATTGGGCCAAGGGCCCCCAAGAGGGCCTAGGCTGTGGCCCACAGGTCACCACGTTGATGGAGAACTTCGGATCTGTCTGTGGTGTTGTTTGGACCATAATTTGGAGTAGACTTGAGGGCCAGAAAACCAAAAGCTCTGGGAATGGAGAGCAGCAAACCACAAAGAGAGCACAGAGGCAGGCCTCATGATGGTCAGCATGTGCTGGGTGCCAGTGTGCCCAACACACAGTTGCCTAATACAGGACACCTGGCAATTTGGGGGGTGGGGGGGGACACAGGGTCTCACTATGTAGCTCAGACTGGTCTTCAGTTCACTATGTAGCCCAGGCTGGCCTTGAACTTCCAGTGAACCTCCTGCCTTAGCCTCCAAGAGCTGGGATTACAGGATTGCGCCACCACACCCGGCACCTGGCAAAATTTAAAGCTCAGATAAATTTTTTAGTACAAACATGTCCCAATCATTGAGTGAGACATACTTCTATTATAAAGTTGTTATTCATTTGATTTTGGACATCAAATTATACCCCCAAAATTGAAAACCAATCCTTAAAGAGGATAGGTCACTTGCCTACAACCTCTGAAGAGTCAAAGTTGGGGCCAGGCATATCTCCAAAGAGATGGCTATCAGAGCACTTGGTAACTTGTCACAAAGGGCAAGGGAGCCAAGTCTAGGCCCTGATGTTAGGAGGACACTGGCCGTGGGCCCAGGTCTCCTGTGAGGACTGACGGCCCCAGGCTTAGGACTCAGGGTGGGAAGGCAGAAGGCTGTGTGCAGAACAGCCCGGGTGGCCCTTATCTTTGTCACTGGGACTGGGAATAAGTTGGAATGAAGTAAGGAGCAATTCAAGAGTATAGCGGTGCCTTGTTTTGCAAACTTATTTCCACAATTCTGGTCACAAACCAAATAGGACAAAAACTCAATTTCCCCATAAGGTCAACAATGAACCTAATCATTGAATTTGATGGTTCATGGCCAGAATCATGCAATGAATTAAGTTCATGAACTAAGGTACCACTTTTGAGAAGCTCAGCCTTGAGAGAAGAAACAGTAGCAGCCAACAATAGATGCTAATTAACTTTTTTAGAGGGGTTACCAGGGATGGAACTCAGGACCTTGCGCTGTTGAGGCAGGCGGCAGAATCACTGAGCTAAAATCCCTGGCCCAGTTAATTAACTTTTATTTTGTGTGTATGCACATGTAGTGGCAATGAGAATTGAACCGAGGGCTCCATTGAGCTACATCCCACTTTTTTTCAATTTTTTTTTTTTTCGAGTAGAAAATTTATTGAGGGAGAAACAGCTCCTGAGAGGCAGGAGTGGACCCAGAAAGTGGGTTACCCTTTTTTTCAATTTTGAGACAGTCTTGCTACGTCACCAAGTTGCCCAGGCTGAGCTTGAATTTGTGATTCTCCTGCCTCAACCTCCCAGGGTGCTGGGATCACAGGGGTGTGCCATCATGCCCAGCTTCAAGACTGTTGGATACCATCTCACCATAAAACGAACACGAAAACAAAAGCTAGAGGACTGGATCAATGCCACAGCAGAAAGGCTGGCCTTAGAGAGGTGACCTATCTCCTCTGGTTGGGGGAAGGAAACAGAGGGATGGCTCTGAGGAGAACATAAGGGCCTTGCTTTCTTTGGAGGACTGGGAGGCACAGATGAGTGGAGACGATGAGATGGACAGGAGGCTGATCAGTGCTACCTGCATGAACACCCCTGCACCTTACCCCAGACCATGTTGGGGAGTTTCCAGGAATCTGCATTTCTGGCCAGCTCCCCAGGGGCTCCTGCAGCACCCACTGCTGTTTAGTGTCCAGCCTGGGCCATTGTGCGAGGGCTGCTGGCTCCTTCAAAGGAGCCTGAAAGGGAAGGGGGTGCAGGGCTGGACTCAGGAGGGGGTGGTCCCAGCAGCTCCCGGGTACCTGGAGCTCTTAGCAGCCCCACCCACACCCATTGCTTCCCTCCCAGCACAGGAAGCCTCCATTCCTGATGACAGGACGGGTAACTAGACAAGAAACAGACCAAGAGTGGAGGACAAGGATTTAGCACAGCACCACTGGAGGACGGCCAGGCTGGTAGCTGTAGAGGGACATCCCTGGCGATATGGCCCAAAGTCTTGCCTTCCTCGGCCTCACACACTCAGCCTCAACTTTGACCCAATAAAAGCAGTGTATGAACAGGCAGAAACCCTTTGATCAGATCTGTTTATTTGAAAGTGAAACCCAATTTCCCTACACTGCAGTTAGTTCCTTGGAGACAGAAAAAGGTTTAGTGATGAGATCAACTCAGTGTCATCTGGTTCCTCCTGATTCTGCAGGACTAAGACACTGCCCAAGAGTTCCACCCCATCAGCCAGTAGGGACCAGAGTTCACCAGTTGTGATCTAGTCAAGGTCAAGTGGGCTTGCCTGGTGAAGGCGTCCACTTGCAGTGAGTTCAAGGCCTTGAACAGGGCTCCTACACCCCATGAGGCCTGCATGGTTCCATCCAGTATCTCAGCAAGGGCTCATCTTCCCCTGCCTTCTGCCATCCACCCACCTCTCCACCCCTCTCAGCCCCTACATCCATGAACTTGTAAATACCAAAAATGGAATGGCCTGGGTTGGGTGGCAGTTGTGGTGGGTAGGGCAGTGTTTAAACCACACCTTCCACCAATACCAAGGAAAGGGAAAGGAGGGGAAATGCCCTCGAGATGATGAGGCGACCCCCCACCCCACTCCAACTCCCAGCACCCTCTTGGGCAGGTTCCCAAGGGAGACCATTGTAAAGAAGCTAAAAGGGAAAGCTACCAACCCCTGCAGCTTTCTCATCGGGGGAGGAAAGCTGCCTAGAACATTACAAGTACAGGTGTAAAATGTTCCTGGGACTGGGACCTTTATTCTTCCAGGGCCAAAGAATGTGTGGCTCATTTTTAAAGAAATGGGTATGGGTGACAAGAAGGCTCACTCTTTGCCCCTGGGCAGGTGGCCAGCAAAGCAACCAACTGGGCACCGTGGAATGCATCCTCATTGTCCCAAACAATGTCCCAGCAACCTCAAATTTACCAACACCTCAACAGCAGAACACAGACATGTAACACACAGCTCCAAACTAGGAAACATTTACGGTCAGGACCCAGTTAAGGCTCCCTCCCTCATTGAACACTTGGACTCCAGCTGGGCATGGTGGCGCACCCAGCACTCTGGGAGACTGAGGCAGGACTGTTAAGTTCGAGCCCAGTCTGAGCAACTTAGTCAGATGCTGTCTCAAAATTTAATAAAAATAAAAGAGGGCTTCATACTCATGGCAGTATGAAGGCTTCAGGTTCAATCCCCAGTATTGCAAAACCAAACAAAAACAAAAACTTGGACTCTAAAGGCTGACTGTCCAGCTTCTTCCTTGAGGGCAGCACAGTCCCCTAGCCCATGAGCCCTCTCCTAGACTCTCCACAGAACCGAAGGGGAAACCCATGGAACCCAGCGCCACTTTACACTGATGGGTTTGTGACTGGGAAACAAGACACTAATGGAAGGCAAATCCAGAGGGACAGCCCGAGGCCAGGTAGATTTCACAGGGCCTATTTCTCTTGGGGCTGCTTCAGAGCAGCCATGGTTCCCAACCAGAGCAGCAGTGGCCTTTCAACCTGATACTTTGGGAAGATAGGAAGAAGGGGATGAGTGAGGGGCCAGGAGGGCCCCATTTTCTGGAACCCACACTGCCACCGGGGCTGCCTAAGCCCTGAAGGGTAGACAGGCCTCATTTGCAGCAACAACACCTGCAGGGATAGAGACCAGCAGGGGGACCCCAAATGTCTTCATTGAGAGTACTATGTACAAGGAGAGGGGAAGGTCTGGCCAGGTGCAGCCTCACTTCATCTCATTCAACCAGGAGATCAAACTGCTCAGCAGCTTCAAACTCAGCATTCATGGCTGCGGCCCACTCATCCAGCTCCGACTTCTGGGGAAGAGAAATGGGGCCAGATGAGTGGAAAGGGGCCCACGCTGGCTGGACCTGTCACCCACACCCTGCAGGTGCTGCCTTCCCCCGAGAGCCAGAGCTAAGCCCTGGGCCTGCACATCTCCCAAGCACACAGCATGACAGCAGGAAAGACTCTGCCCTCTCTCTCACTCACCAGTATCTCTGGCACCTTTTTCTTCTTTCGCTTCTCTTTCATAACTAGGGGAGAGATTCCTGGGAGATTCGTGTCTGGGGACCAGGGCTTTGCAGGGACCTTGGAGACCTCGGTTAACTTTGAATGCACCACAGGTGAGACACCAGACAAATCTTCGGGGTCCTCAAAGCCAAAGCAGGACCGGAGGCCAGGGGTGGAGGTGGAGGCACATCCAAGGGTATCCAGCCGGCTATAGGAGCGCCTGACTTTCTTAGACATTTCCACGTATCTGGCATCCAACTCCCCTTCCTTGGAGTTGGACTGGACATTCAGGGGGTTCAGCACAGGAGTAGTAGCGGGGGTGGCAGGGACACTACATGTCTTGAAGAGGTCCTCTTTCCTTGGCTCCTGGAGAGGAGGGTTGTTTTCTTTCCCCAAGAAAAAAGCAATCTGCATAAAGACAGTGGAGCGAACACCTTCCTGTTACATAGCTGGACTCCTTACTTCCAAAAAGGCCTCAGGAGACTCAGGGTGGAAAAAAATGCTCCACAGAACAATTTTTATTTACGTATTTATTGCAGTACTGGGGATCAAACACAGGGACTCATACATGCTAGGCAAGCACTCTACCAATGAGCTGCACCCCCACATACCTTTTTTGTGGTACTAGGGATTGAACCCAGGGCTTGTATTGAGCAAAATCCCCAGCCTTTTTTTTTTTTGGTACTGGGGATCGAACTCAGGACCTTGCACTTGTAAGGCAGGCGCGGCACCACTGTAGTAAATCCACCTCCCCACCCGCGGCCCTTTTTATTTTGAGACAGGGTCTTGCTAAGTTGACCAGGCTAGCCTTGAACTTGTGATCCTCCTGCTTCAGCCTAAGTAGCTGGCACTACAGGTGGGTACTACTAAGCCCAGCTGGAGAAACACTTTTAAAAGAAAACTGCTCATCACTGCTTCTGAGGAGTCCACTCTTGTGACACCAGAAGACTAGCCATATCTGCTAGTGCTGTCCCTGTTTCCAAGTGTGCCTGTAATCCAGCCACCTCTCCAAACACAAGCCCCCATGTCCCATCTAGACCAGCTCAGAAATCTAAATGTTCTGCCTGCTTCTAGCCTCACATTCTATGGTCCATTTGCCACATAGCTGCTTAAGACTTTTCCCAAAAAAGTCCATTCAGTCAGTAAGATCACTGGCCATTTATCCTGTGCCAACACTGTACCAAGCAGTGGGTTTTTTGGGTACCGGAGATAGAACTTAGGACCTTGCGCCTGCAAGGCAGGAGGCGGAACCACTGATCTAAATCCCTGGCCCTAGGCAGTGGGAGTACAGAAAGAAATGAGAGGAAAACAGATAATAAGGAAGACCATGGATTGTTTTTTGGTTTTTTGTCTGTTTCTTTCGGGGTTTTTTGGTAATGGGGATCAAACTCAGGACCTTCTGCTTGCCAGGCAAGTGCAGTGCCACTGAGCTAAATCCCTGGCCCAGGAAGACACAGGTATTAAGTGCTACAGAAACAAACAGAAGAGGATCAAGTACTGAGGTGGCTGGAACTGTAGGCCTTACTTAGAAACTGACAAGTGAGCTAAAACTAGAAGCTGGTGAGGGAGTGGGTTGTGTGGACACCAGAAGGAAGTGTTCTAAGTAGCAGAAACAGAAGGTGCAAAACCCTTGAGGCTAAAGTGTACCAGTCAGGGTCAAGGAACAAGGAGGTCATAAAGGAAATGAAGACAAGGTTTGAAAGGTAATGGGGGTGGGATGGGAGGAATAGGTGGCTCTGGAGGCCAGGCTCAAGATTTTGCTCTGAGACCAGCGAGCCACAGCAAGGCTGGGGACAGGAAAGACTTAACCTGACACACGCATGCAGAGCTTCCTGTAAAACTCTCAGCTCACAGGCTTCCTCAGGGAGGCTGCCCCCTACCATGGGCTCCAGGACAGCCTCTCTCATGTCTGGTAGTTATTCTGTCACAATGATCTTTTATTTCCTGTAGAGCAACATCACTGTCAATGTTGGCTTGTGCACTGGTTGACTCAGTCATCCCAGATAGAACAGGAGCTTCCTGACATCATGTGGCTGGCTTGACATTGGGAGTGCTCAATAAGTACTAAATTGATGTACGTGAAACTTGGCATTGAGCTTTCTGGAGGCCAAGGCAAGAATGAAAACAGAACAAATCAACTGTAGCCTAATACCAGGAAGTAAATTTATCAAGAGGCATTCCCTGGCCACAAGCTCTGGGGAATCTGCCTCATAAGTTCAATAAAAGGGATGCTCAACAGAAAGGAACATCCTTGACTCCTTCTTCCTCATCCTTTAAGGCCAAGCAGTCACATAGGGTCTGGCAACTTTATCCAGGTCTCAAAAATCTATCAGTCAAGCTGGACGTGGTAGCACACACCTATGATCCTAGCAGTCAGGAGGCTAAGGCTGCAGGGTCAGCCTGGGCTACATAGTGAATTCAAGGGCAGCTTGAACTACACAGTGAAATCTTGTTCCAAAATAAACAAATAATCTATCAGTCAACAGAAGTCTCTGCTTGAAAGATAGTTACATTCACTCCAGGAAAGACATCAAACATGTGAGCACATAACCCATCAGATGTTGATAAGGCCTAAGAGAATTACACAGACAAATGTGAAATGGAGCATAGCTTCCTTTGCCCAGAACCCCTTCTTGTTTTAAAAGACTTGGTTTAAATGTCTCTTGTGAAATATCCCAAGCCACATAGTCTGGGTTAGGTACTATCATGGCACCTAGCATTTCCTCTCTGTAGCCCTTAGCAATCCTAGGTCATTTGTCTTTCTCCACATTTGTTATGGAGCTTTTATTTATTTATTTTTTTGGTACCGGGGAGCGAACTCGGGTCCTTGTGCTTGCGCAGCAGGGGGTGAAACCACTGAGCTAAATCCCCAGCTAAGGAGCTTTTAAAAGGCAGCACTTCTCATTCTTTAAGCCTTCAGATTTTCTATGAATGAACTATCCTTGATAAGAAGTTCTGCTAAAACTATAAAAATACCACCACACATATAAATCATAACAACCATAAGTAACAACTGAGGACAGCTGGGTGTGGTGGAATATGCCTGTAATCCCAGCACTCTGGAGGCTGAGGCAGGAAGATCACAAATTCAAAATCAGCTTGGGCCACTTAGCAAGGCCCTGCCTCAAAATAAAGGATGAAGATGCAGCTCAATGAGAAGGTCCTGGTACAATTTTCAGTACCTTAAAAAAACAAACAAGCAAAAAACCGAAGACAAAATAGCTTGGAAAAAGGACAGTGATTAGGATACAGCTCAGCTTTTTAAGGAAAATAGTAGAAACATATAAGGTACAGAGTATGAGGAGCTAAAAACGAAAAATTTAAGAAAAATTAAAATAAAAGCTGAAAATGAATTAAGTTTGCAAGGAGTGATCAAGATAGCATTGCTGGGCGTGGTGGCCCACACCTGTAATCCCAGAACTTGGCAGGCTGAGGCAGGAGGATCACAGAGAGTTTGAGGCCAGCCTGGGATATATAGTAAGTTCAAAGCCAGCCTGAACTACAAAGTGAGATTCTGTCTCAACCTCTCTCCCAAAAGACTGCCAATCATGTGGGAGTTTTCAAAGGCATATTGTTTTTAAAAGAGTTCCTTGCATAGATGTGAGCAACCAGTATGTCCTCTCCCAAGTCTAGAGTGACCTGCATTCCACCCAACTAAGCAAATGGAAATGAACTCACCCTAGGGCTCCTGCGAGGAGAGTGGACAGCTGGGACCTGTGGGGACAACACCAACTGATCAAATAGCCAGCCCCTACTCTTGACCTTCCACCCATTATCTCCTCTTTTTTTTTTTTTTTTTTTCCGGTACCGGGGATCGAACTCGGGACCTTGCGCTTGCAAGGCAGGAGGCGGCACCACTGAGCTAAATCCCCGGCCCCATAATCCCCTCTTAGCCCTCACCTCTACCGCCTGAGCCACAATCTTCTTCAAGACGATGGGCTTTCTGACTGGAGCCGCAGGAGGTGTCTGAAAGGCAGGAGTAACGAGGATGACCTCTACATTAGTTCAGGGGCCTCTCGGGCAATAACTAAGAAACTCTGGGCTCACCTTCTGGCAGATTTCAGGAAGAACGCTCGGGAGAACAGAGCCTGATTTTCGCTGGGACCTCCGCAGGGACTCAGGAGATGGGGCCCTGGGCTCTGGAAGGAGAAAAAGTTCCAAGGTGTAGAAAGACTCTAGGTCCTACTAGAGACAGGCCCTAGAGAGAGCCAGAGAAGATTCTCAAACAAGCCCTTTAGGGATGCGTTGGGGAGGATAAGCCTCCTTCGGTAGGGGATGGGCTCGACTTCCCCAAACGGCTCGGGCCCATCTGTCCCACGCATCCTCCGCTTACCCGACCGCCGAGCGGCCCCTCCGGACCGCGTTCGCCTCCTAGACATATCCAGTTTCGGTCTCGACCTCCTCCACCGCCACAGCAGCGGGTCCGCGCCAACCGCGAGGACCGCCGGCCACTCTGAAAACGTTCGAATTACCCGCCCTGGCAGAGAGGAAGCGGAAGTGACGCAAAGCGGGAGAGCTGCTACGCCCGGAATCCTCGGCTTTTCACCCGCCTTCAAATCTACAGATTTGAAGTAGGGGCGTGGCCCGGGGCGTGGTGGCGTCATCAGCGCGCGCCGCACCCGGAAGAGACGTGGCAGCGGAGGATAATCGGGGCGGCTTGGGTTGAAGCAGACAGAGCAGCAGCTGGTGAGCGTAATACCTGTCCTGCTCCCCGAACCACTGCTTGAGCTGTTCGGGACCGGTGCCCCGGCCGAACAGTAACACTGATAGTAGGAATCTGTACGGGAGGAGGCGGGGCCAGGAGGGGGTGGGGCTGAGGACTGGTCCTGGGGGCGGGGTCAGTGGTATTCTCCTAGTTGTTGGTAGAGAGGGGGTGGGATTCAGGAGGAATAAGGGGTCTTCAGAGGCGGGATTTATTCAGGGGGCGTGGCCCGACCGCAACTCGGGAAGTGGGCAAGAATTTGGGATTGGGGCGCGCATGAATAGTCTCTGGAGGAGTTAGGAATGGAGACTAACCGGGCTGAGGAGAAGTGATGTCCACCAGAACCTGGCTTCTTGTCAACTCCGTTCCTTTCGCCAAGGTTTGTCATGGGACTTTGCAAGTGCCCCAAGAGGAAGGTGACCAACCTGTTTTGCTTCGAACACCGAGTCAACGTCTGTGAGCACTGCCTGGTAGCCAATCACGCCAAGGTGGGACATTCGGGGCGGCAGCTGAGCAGGGTACTTCATAGACAGACAATATTGTCACTGCCAAATCCCTGAGGGACCCCACGCTAGAATGTTAGCTCCACAAGGGCAAGGGCTTGGACATTTTGTTCACTGCTGCATTTCCAGCCCCTAAAATAGTCTAATCCACAGTAAGTGTTCAATAAATATTTATTGATTACACGAAAGGATGAGTTTCCTCTGTGATGAGAGAAAAGAGACAATTGGACCTTGAAGGGGTAGGTGGTGGAGTCCTAGCCCTGGTTGTGACTTCTCTCTCCCACTTCAGTGCATCGTACAGTCCTACCTGCAGTGGCTACAAGATAGTGACTACAACCCCAACTGCCGCCTGTGCAACACACCCCTGGCCAGCCGGGAGACAACCCGCCTCGTCTGCTATGGTGAGGGATGGGCACCCTGGAATGATCATGGCAGCCCCAGGGCCCAGCTTGGTGATTGATTTCCAGGCCCTCCTCAAACAGCAGGACAGTGAGTTCCCCAAGCCAGGGAGGCCAGTGCTGCAGGTTCTAGTTCTGTCAGGTTGCTTCCCCATTACATAAACTCAAGCAAGTCATTTTCCTTTTCTAGGCCTCACTGTCTTTCCTAAAAGGTAAAGATCTTACTTCCTGCCCTCCCAGTCTTGCAGAGTTGAGCAAGAGCCAGTCAAGCTTCTGAGGATGGTTGTAGCTGTGGTTGTGGCTGTGGGCAGTAGATAGCTGCACCAGCATGATGCTGTCAGATATTTGGGATACATTATTGACTGCAAGATGAAACAGAGAGGAAGTGTTTCCCACATTGAAATTAGCTACGGAGAGTCAGCAGTCACATGTGTCATGACTGTGACCTGAATCCACTGTAAAAGTCTCAGCTTCAGTTTTTGAAGGAGCTGGTGAAAATAGGCAGCTCCATGTATTCATTCATCCATGTGAGAGTGTGTATATATTTGCATGAATTCAATGCACATTGTGTCTTTACATGATCATTGTGGGTGCAGAAATATGGATGAAGTGAACACAGGTATGTTTTAGACATACAAGGAAAACACATGGATGGGTGAGGGTGCTTGAGCACTAGCAAATGTGAGTTTTAGATGTGTATGTATGAAAGGTAAAGTAGATACAGGGAATGGCACTCATGTTTGTGTGCCATTATAAGCACATACACATTTGTGGCTATGGATGTATGCAAACATGTGCCTATGTGTATATCTAGAAACCTTTGCTGAAGCTATTCTTGATTAGCCATTTGCTCAAGGATTATGATGAGTGCAGTCCCAAAGAGGACTCCCTGAAAGGGTAGGTGGCATTTTTTTTCCCATCCACCCCCTTGTGGGCTGACAACTTGGTAATATCTGCTTTGAGTTAGTCAGATGGTGGTATCCAAGAAGCCTGAAATAGCAGGGAATGTTGATGAAATACACCTGAGGTGAGGTGGAGAAAGAGAGGCCCTGGTCATCTATGAATATGCCCTTTCGTCCCTGCAGTACCCTGGGGCCCATTGCTGGGCTAGGAGCTCAAAGAGACTTCTTCCTCATGTCTTTCCTTCCCTATTTCATGGGCCCTAAGATCTCTTCCATTGGGCCTGCCTCAATGAACGTGCTGCCCAGCTCCCCCGAAACACTGCGCCTGCTGGCTATCAGTGTCCCAGCTGCAACGGTCCCATCTTCCCCCCAACCAACCTGGCTGGCCCTGTGGCCTCTGCACTGAGAGAGAAGCTGGCCACCGTCAACTGGGCCCGGGCAGGACTGGGCCTCCCTCTGGTGAGAGTCCCTCTGTCTGTCTGTCTGTCTGTTTGCCCTGGGCCTCACCTGAGTCAGGTGAGTGGCTGGGCAGGCTGGTAACCCAGACTCCTTCCTCCAGATCGATGAGGCAATGAGCCCAGAGCCTGAGCCCCTCAATTCCTCCAGTTTCTCTGACTGGTCCAGCTTTAATGGTAAGCGTTGGCCTCTACCTGTTATCTGGCCCCTTCTCTCCCTGCCCTGCTGACAGCACTTCTCTGTCCACAGCCACCGGCCCCCCTGAACAGGAGAAGGCAGAAAGTGCTTCTGCTCCCACGGTTTTCTACAGCCAGGCCCCCCGGCCTTCTTCATCTCCCAGCCCACCTGACCAGCACACAGTCATCCACATGGGCAGTTCTGAGGCCTCAACTCACGGTGAGCCAGGGAATTATCTGGACTCTAGAAGGATAAAAAAGGGTAGCTGGGATTTAGAGCCCCACCTGGAGTGACCTTTCCTCACTCCCCACAATTCCAAAATGCTCTGACAGTCTGGGGAAGACAGGAGAGACCCTTGCCTCTGACACACACCGAGCAGGTTCCCTGAGCCTATTGATGCTCTTGGCTCCACCCCTGCAGCCCCGAGGAAGGTGTATGATACACGGGACGAAGACCGGGCACCAGGCCTCCATGGAGATTATGACGATGACAAGTATCGCCGCCGGCCCGCCCTGGGCTGGCTGGCCCAGTTGCTCAGGTACGTGGGGTCAGGTGGGAGGCAGGGTGCCAGGAAGGGGAGGAGAGGATCCTCAGCCAAAGGGACTTATACCAGGCCCTGGCAGTATCTAGTGCAAGGGCTATGCAGAACAGCCTCTGCTGGGCAGTAGAAGCCTTGCCATGTCCCCGCTTCTGGGGCTGTGTCCTTGTATCCCGTAGGAGCTTTGGCCTTGGGCTCTTTAAGGCCTCTTCCTATTTTTTGTCCCCCAGGCCTGACACGTTGCAGTTTTCAGAACATAGTCACACACCTCAGCTGCTTTAAGCTGCACAGTAACCCTCTGTGGTGGAGTGGTCATCTCTGTGGTGGAGTGGTCATCTCTGTGGCACAGATGAGGAAACTGAGGCTCAAGGATGGTGACTAGGGCTCCTCTTTGAGCCATGGGCTCAGGGCCTGACCTGACTTTCTCTTCATCCCCCCAGGAGTCGAGCTGGGTCTCGGAAGAGGCCACTGACCCTACTGCAGCGGGCAGGGCTGCTGCTGCTCTTGGGGCTACTGGGTTTCCTGGCCCTCCTTGCCCTCATGTCTCGCCTGGGCCGGGCCGCAGCTGACAGTGATCCCAATCTAGACCCACTCATGAACCCTCACATCCGTGTGGGCCCCTCATGAGCCTTGGTTTGTGGCTGGGCCACCCCAGGACCCCAAGGAGAGAAGGGGAGGAGGCCTGGAGGCTCAAGCCTAAGACACTAAGATCCTGGGCCCAAAGGCAAGGCCACCAGGGCAGCTGCAAGCTGGCCCTGGAGACCTGTAGGTCAAGCATTTGTCTTAATTTGCTTCTCCTTGAATCTCCTTCCTCCCACCCCAACCCCTTGAAGGAGCTGACAGAGGCAAATAAATGACAGACTTTATTAAAACACCCAAAGCAGCCTTTTCCTTATCCCTTCTCAGCCTTGGCCCCATCCCCAGGCCTCAGTGGCTTTCCTGCCGGTGCTCAATGGTCAGGAACTCCAGAGACAAGCGGTTGAAGAACATGACTCCATTGAGTACTGTGCAGAGGAGAGAGCCATTAGCCCAACACCTTGCCCCTCCTGCACATCTCAGAGCCCTAAGCTCCCCCCTCCCCACCCTCTGAGCATGCCTCTCCCTACTCACTCAAGATGATTAGGGCAAAACACTGGAAATATTTGTTATCTGCCATCTCAGCGTAGACGGACCCCATGGCAGCCCAGCAGATGCTCATCACCTGGGAGAACTGTAGGCCCATGCAGTGGGAGAGCAGCCCCACCCCCACCCACCAGCCAGGCTTTCCCCAGCCCCTCAGGCAGCCTCCCAGCCATCTCAGCCCCTACCATCAGGATAGGTGTGTAGTAGAAGCTCATTCTGTCATAGTAGTGGGTGATGTAGAAGTGGTACAGGTCGCTGGCAAAGATGCCCAGGTGTATGAAGAAGAGCAGGAGTGCAGCCACGGTGAGCATCATGCCTTGCGGGAAGAAGAGCACAGCCACACGGTCCTGCCACCGAATCCTGAGCGCAGAGAGGCCTCTTCAGACCCGAGAGCTGGAGCAAGTGGGACACTGGCCAGAGCAGCAGCAGAACCCCCTGGTTCCACAGTGCCCTGTCTGGCACAACAGTGGGATTCCAAAGCTAAGAGGACAGGAGGGGTGAGGTTCTAGAACCCAGGGTAATTCCAGCAAAGACAAGTGTTTTGATGGGGGCTAGACGGAAGGTGCAGAGCAGTGGGGCTGTGGGTGTTGGTGAAGGGACAGTGTCATTCTGCATCCCACAGTCCCACAGAGATAGTGTGGGCACATTCACTGATGGAGATCTGGGGCTCAGAAGAGTTAAGGGGCATATCCTAGGCCTGAAGCAGGTCTTGGGTTGACAAGAGATGAGCACTCACATGTGCAGCTGGGAGGCTTCCCTGGTGAGGGGAGGCCTGGGCTGGACCCCAGGTTCCAAGTTGGCTCCACTGCCACTGGGGTAGAACTAAAGTAAAGGATGATACATTTTCTGTAGTCGCCCTGGGACCTTCCCGGTGCCCTCCCCAGTTGCAGCTCAGAGAGCAACTGAGGACCAGTGCTCACGAGCTTTCCCCCCTCCATCTTCAGATGCGCAGATACTTTACACGAATCACCTCCCTCCCTCCAGGAGACCCCTGAGAAGGCTAGGGCTGGTGGTGTCAGTCCTGTTTTGAGTCTAAGAAGGGAATTTTTTTATTCAATCTTTCATGGTCAGTGAGCCATACTGAGTCTATTCTTTTGTTTTGTTTTGGTACCAGAGATGGAACTCGGGACCTTGCACTTGCGTAGCAGGTGGCGAAACCAGAGCTAAATCCCTGGCCTCTCATACTGAGTCTATTCTGAAACTAAACTCTCATACTGTTCATACTCATAAGAAATGAGATTGCAAATGCTGTCAACCAAATTAGCCAGAAAAACAGTCAGTAATGGTGTGGAGGGACAGGCAAGCTCCCAAGGATTGAAGTAGGAGGGAGGGAAGGACTCAATGCCCAAGCCTGCCACCCCCATTGCTGCCTGGCCCTGGAATTAGGCTCTAGACTCACTCCTCCAAGTAGTGGATTCGATCCTGTGCCCGCCATCTTTACTTGCTGCCCCAGTCCACCATCAGTCTGCATAGTGTCTTAGACTCCGTACTTGCCACATTGCTGTGTTGTTTTGGTTTTTTGTGGTGCTAGGAATAGTCCCCAGGGGCTGAAGCATGCTCAGTCCTTTACTGCTGAGGTACACTGTAGTGTGAATACATGATTTGTCCCCCTAAACTCAGGCAGTAGTTAAATCCCCAACTCTATGTTAATGTTATTAAGGGAGTGGAATTTAATCTGGCTGTGGAATTTAGAGGTGAGGCTTGAGAAGTAATTAGGTCATTGGGGTAGAGGTCCCTTGACTGAGTCCTGGTGGCTTTGTGAAAATGAGACCACACAGGGCAAGCTACACATGTGACATGAGGCAGTCATGGAAGGCCCTTGCTAGAACCTGAGACTTCCACCATCAAAAACAACAGCAAAAAACCTCCTTTCTTTATAAAATAGCTTGCTTCAGGTATTTCATTATAGTAAGGAAAAGCTACTATGAAAAAGGTGGTGCCCCAGAAACCAGCCATGGTCCTATCATTCAAATAATTCTATCTGAATTTTCATTTGAATCCAAGTAAGCTGTTACAGATTGAAGTTCTTTGAGAAAGGGTCTAACTACTCAACTATTGTGGGCAATAAGCCCTAGAGTCAGTTTGTTGGTGCAGAAATAATAGACACCTAGAAATCTTTTTTTTTTTTTTAATTCTTTTATTGGTACATTTTAGGTATACAATACGTTTACATTTATCATTGGGTGCTTGTACCTGTACATGATGTATCTTGGTTCTTATTTTTTCCCCCATTACCTGTGAGCCCTTCACCCCCTCCACCCTTCACTATTTACATAGATTTCATTTCCTTTTCTTTTTCTTTTCTCATAATTTTTTCCTTTCCCTTCTTCCTTTTCCCCTTCCGCTCCCACCACCACTACACCTTTGGACCTTTTCCTATTTCATATTATCAATTATTCATTTTAATCATTTTAATCCTTATTTACACTTTCAGTTTCTCACACTAGAGAAACTATTTGGTATTTACACATGACACCTAAAAATCTTGACAAGGCAAGTTTACTTCTGCAGAAGGGTGTGAGCACACCCCAGCAATGAGGTAGCAGGCACACCAGCTGCAGCAGCAGGCTCCTTATATATCCTAACCCTCCCCCCCGCCCCGGGTTGGGGGGCAGCTGACCTCCCTATTGGGTGGTTTGAAGGTTCACAATCTATCCCCATTGTCTAGTTCAGGTGTCTGAGGGGGTGGGGCCTGAAGGGTTGCTGGGCAGCATGTTAAGGGGCTTTGGGGGAATAGGAAACTGAAAGTCATTGATTGGCACAAGGTATTCCTGGAGTCCAAACAGCAGAAGTGTCTTGTAACACCTGCAACCCTAGTGCAAGGAGTGGAGGAAGGCAGCTCCGGGTTAAATAAAGTTTAAGATAGAGGCACTCCTGTTTATATCTTTTGTTGGAAAAGACAGGGCCGCAGTTTCCCACACTATGTAGCCCAGGCTACCCACAAACTCATAGCGATCCTCCTGCCTTAGCCTTCCAAATGCTGGGATTACAAGCACCTGCCACCACACCTGGTCCTGTACATTGAAATTCTTAGCCAGGCGTTGGGTCATGTGCCTGTAATCCCAGCACACTGGGAAGCTGAGGCAAGAGGATTGCAAGTTTCAGTCCAACCTGGGAAATTTTGGGATTTAGCAAGTCCCTGTGTTAAAATTTTTAAAAAGGCTAAGGATATAGTTCTATGTGAAGGTCCTGGATTCAAGCCCCATTGCCACACACACACACACACACACACACACACACACACACATATGTTATAGCTCAATGCCATTACAAAAAATCCAAGCAATACATAGATATGTTCTTATAAGTAAAAGATTTGTAGCCAGACATGGCAGCACATGCCTATAATCCCAGCATTTAGAGGCCAAGGCAAGGAGATCACAAATTCAAACCCAGCTTGGGCAACTTTGCAATTTAGTAAAAACTTGTTTCAAAATAAAAAAATGAAGGACTGGGGATGTTGGATCCCCCAGTGCTACAAAAATAAAAAAAAATTGTCTAAACATAGAACAAACATTAACTAAGATTTATTAACTCACCAGGAAGAGTTGCCCCCTCAATAAGGTAATAAAGCACCTTGAGAACATGGATATGGATAGACATTCAAAGAGGAATATTAGCACTTGATTACTGGATTAGATACAAAACTATGTAGTTGATTTGCCCAGTGATGGCATACACCTGTAATCTTAGCGCTGGGAAGGCTGAGGTAGGAGGATTGCTAAGAATTTGAGGCCAGCCTGGGCTATATAGTAAAACCTTGTTTCAAAAAAAAAAAAACAAAACCAAAAACCAGACGGGGATTCAGCTCAGTGGCACAGTGCCTGCCTTGCAAGCACAAGGTCCTGAGTTCAATACCTAGTACTGGAAAAAAAAAAAAAAGAACTAGTTAATTTCCTGCAGTACAATAAAAATTATAGCCTTTAATATTACTTTTTCTACTGGATATAAATGGTTTTTTAATTTCTACTAAGAAATATCTATTTGTAATTTCAGAATTTGAACCATTAATAGAAAATACCAATATCAAAGAACTATGTATCCCTTGGGTAAGTAATCCTTGGACTTGTGAGATAGCATCCCAGTATGACATTGAAAGCACTACCTAAAAAAAAAGAAAGAAAGAGCCAGGGATTTAGCTCAGTGGTTCTGCTGCCTGCCTTGCAAGCACAAAGACCCAAGTTCGATCCCCGGTACCAAAAAAAAAAAAGAAAGAAAGAAATTTGAAGGCAAGCAAGCATGAGCTGTATTCTTGGTCTTTCAGTTTTTGCATAACTTTTTTTTTTTTTTGGAGACAGGGTCTTGCTATGTAGTTCAGATTGGTTTTGAACTCACTATATAGCTTAGGCTGTTCTTGAACTCATGGCAGTCCTCTTGCCTCAGCCTCCCAAGTTCTGGGATACAGGTACATGTCACCACTACTGGCTTGGATAATTTTTCTTAATACTCTGCAGCTTTTTACAAAAGTTTACACCAATACTGGGGAGGTGCACCTGGAGTAGATCTCATCTAAAACTTTTTTTGGCAGTGCTAGGATATACCTAAATCTTTTCTTTCTCTCTCTCTTTCTTTTCCTTACTGAGCCGGGATCTTGCTATATTTCCCAGGGAGACCTTGAACTTTCCATCCTCTTGCCTCAGCTCCCAAGTACTGAGATTACAAACCATGTGTATTTTGTGTGTGTGTGTGTGTGTGTGTGTGTGTGTGTGTGTGGTGCTGGGGATTGAACCCATGGCCTTGTGCATACTAGTCAAGCTCTCTGACACTGAGCTATAACCCTAGCCTTATATTTTTAAAAAACAGTGTCTGGCCAGGCACAGTGGCATATGCCTGTAATCCCAGCACTTAGGAGGCTGAGGCAGGAGGATCACTGTGAGTTCAAGGCCAGCCTGAACTATATAATGAGACCCTGTTTAAAAAATAATAAATAAAAAAAAAATGATAAATAGCCAGGGATTTAGCTCAGTGGTTCTACCACCTGCCTTGAAAGCACAAGTTCCCGAGTTCGATCCCCGGTACCAAAAACTAATAAATAATAAATAAAGTCTCTGAACATCCCATTGAGTCATAGGTCAGCAAACTTTTTCTGTCAAATGCCAGTTAGAGAGCTTTAGGTTTTTGTTTGCCATGATGTCTCCATGGCAACTACTGGAGTCTGCTGTTGTAGTTCAAATGAAATTATGTAAACAAATAGTTATGGCTGTGTTCTGATAAGTTTTACTTACGGACATTGAAATATAAATTTTACATACTTTTCAAGAATCATAGAATGTTATTTTTTCAATCATTTAAATATATAATAGAGATTCCTCAAAAAACTAAAACTAGAAATTCCATTTGACCCAGGTATTCCCCTTCTAGGTATCTTCCTAGAAGAGTTGAAGACACCATATCACATGATACATGCAAACCCATGTTTATAGTAACACAATTCCTAATAGCTGAATCTTGGGGGGTTTTGGGGGGTTTTTTTGGTACTGGGGATTGAACTTGGGTCCTTGTGCCTGAGCAGCAGGTGGCGAAACCACTGAGCTAAATCCCCGGCCCCTTGGGGGTTTTTTTTGAGACAAGGTCTGGCTTTGTGGTTCAGGCTAGCCTTGAACTCATTATGTAGCCCAGGCTGGCCTCCAATTCACATCAATCCTCCTGCCTCAGCCTCTTAAATGCTAGGATTACAAGCGTGTGCTACCACACCCAGCCAATACTTGAATCTTGCAAGAAGCCCACATGTTCATCAACAGTGTAGGAAAAATGAAGCCCAAGATGACTGCACTATGGTTCAGGCTGGGGGTTGTGGTTTCTGGGGGAGAAAAGTTTGAGACAGCCAGATTCCAGTGCAGGTACACTTCCCAGTGTCAGTGGAAATAGTTGATACAGAACAACCAAGAACATTACTGGCTGGTGTAAATAATTTAATCAATGTCCTTACTGGTGGATAGCCCCTATTCTGCAGACCCCCATACATAGCTGGCCTGCCTGCCACATTGCCACGACCTGTGACCTGTGTGGCTGAAGGGTTCACCGAGTGAGAAACAAGGGTGAGAGATTAAGAAAGACAGAAAGAGATTTAATAAAGTATGGGTGGGGCCAGGTGGGGCTCTTAACTCCTGATGGGAAGAAAAGACCACCAAGCAAATGGCCACACGTTTATTTATAGTGTTAGAGGTCAAAGGGGCTTGTCTGTAACCAGAGCCAGGAGAGTAGCTAAGATCTGCAGGACATCATGCTTGGTTTTCTGGCGAATGGGCGGGGAGGAAGATAGTCCTCTTCTGGGCCAGACCTTGCTCCACCACGCCCTCTTGTAGCCTGTTCTCCTCCCCCAGGGCCCTGCCTCATCCTCGGGAAGAGTTGAGTTACCCCTGTCCATAGTGATCTACAGAGAATTGCTCCCGACACAACATGAGTGTGTGTGGCTGAAGAATAAAGATGCCCAATCCAGTCCACAGCTCTGCATCATTCCTTTGGGGTGTCTGAATCTCAAATGAACCTCCTCAGTCTGAACTGGTGACAAGGCAAACATGAATGGATAAAGAAAATGTATTTATGCACAATGAGCACTACTATGCCATAAAGATAAAGGAGTCATGTGTAGGAAAATGGAAGCACCTTGAGACCATCGTGTTAAGTGAAATCAGACACACAAGCTTAAATATTGCATGGTTCCTCTTATATGAGAAGGCCAAAGTATAAACAAAGAACAAAATAAAAGATAGATAATAGGAAGTAGGGAGATAGATCTTTCTCAGAGGAGAAAGGAATTGAGAGATGGAGAGATGGGGTAGGCAGGGAAGGTATAAGGGATGAAAAGGAATTAGAACGTGGTATGTGCACATAGCAACTCCACACAAACAATGTGAACATTATGTACTGCAAACGTACAAAATAAAGGGAAAGGGGTCAAAAGATGGTGGAGGGGAGAGACAGGGAAGGGAAAACGGATGACAAAAGGAATTAAGATGTGTTATGTTCATGTACCAATTTCACACAAGGGCAGTAAAAATTATATACTATTCACATGTACTAATGACCTAAAAATTTAAAAAATATGAAGAACTGTAAGCTTGGCATGGTGGCATATGCCTGTAGTCCCAACACTGGGAGGCTGAGGCAGGAGGATCACAAGTGTGAGCTCAGCCTGAGATATACCAAAACAGATGAACAAATAAACAGGAAGTTGGGCATGGTGGACCACATGATAAACAAGGTCTCTTTTTTTCCTTTTCCTCCATTCTAACTCAGTGTGTCCCAATCTGAATGCCAGGTATTCCCTTTCTTGAGGGAATGCCTTTGTGAATTGTCATGTGAGGCATGATACATGAAAGGCCAATGGTGACAGTCAAAAAGGAATTTACCAATAGCCAAGGAATATAGAAAAATTTGAGTTTATTGATAGACTGCAAGAGAGCAGCAAGGTGAATCCAAAGGAGGACCAAACTGTCAGGGTGAAATGTTCTGTTCTGGGGAGGCGGGGTCTGGAACCATCATCCTAGAAGTGCTCTCATAGGTCATGGTGATTCTATTGTAATCCAGCTCAGTGCTAATGCTATGGCACTTGGAGGGCAGGCAGACCAAGGAAGAGAGCTGCACTCAGAGTACTGAAAGGAAAAGCAGGTTTATTCGCTATCAAGCCCAGTGGAAGTCACCTTCCAGAGTCTGAGCCCCGATTCTAAGTTTGTGTTTATTTTTATTTTTTGTTTTTGTTTTAATTTTTTTGTTACCGGGCAGGGATCGAACTCAGGACCTTGCACTTGCAAGGCAGGCGGCAGCACCACTGAGCTAAATCCCTGGCCCTTTTTTTCATTTTTATATTGCTCTTCAGGCAGGGTGGGGAAGCAAGCAGAATTTTACAGAAGCAGAATTTAGCACAGAGCTAGGGAGGTACAGGCAGATGATGCTTTAACAGTTTATCTCTCAGACATAGGGAGGTGTAGGCAGGTGTTGTTTCAGTAGTTTATCTTTCTGGCACAGTGACTTTCATGGGTTTAGCAGGAGGGGCAAGACTTGAGACCATCAGTCTCTGTCAAGCTTTGAGACTGGTAGTCTCTGCTTTGTCTTTGTTTTATTTTGTTTCCATATCATTAAGGACAGCCAGGTATTGTCTGAAGACTGGTGTAATGTTTCTGACAGGGTCCAATGCCTGTCCTTCAGGTGAAATTAGTTAAATATGTAAAGATTAATGTTAATGCTCAGCAGGTCAGAATAAAAATATACATGTTTGTACTTGAAAGAGACTTTTGATGTTACATTGGCAGAGGGAAAGAAATGACACTCTGACAAGTCAAACGGTTAGAGCATCTAGGGGTGAATACATAGTTTCTGTGCATAGTTTACAGGGTGGAAAGCTAATATACTACAGGGTCACGACTCTGATTTAAATAAACAATGGTAAAATAGGGCCTGGGGATTTAGTTCAGTGGTTACACTGCCTGTCTAGCAAGCGCAAGGACCCAAGTTTGATACCAAAAAAAAAAAGGGTCATGTGATCTTAACAATGGTAAAATAAACATGATTCCCACATGAATGGCTGCACCTTTGTCCAAGGCAGAAATCTGGGAATTATCCTCAATCCCTCATTCAACTCCTCACTCACCACAACCCATCAGTCACTTGGTATCTGCCGGGTTTGTCTTCTAACCCCAAGAGGAGTTCTTAAATGGAAGTGTGCACTAGAAATTCTTGGGACTTTAAAAAGAAGCTAGGTAGCCAGGTGTAGTGGCACAAACCTGTAATCCTAGCAGATTACAGGTTGTGAGGCTGAGGCAGGAGGATCACTGCCAGTTCGAGGCCAGCCTGAGCTACACACTGAGTTCAAGGCCAGTCCGAACTACAGTGAGACACTGTGAAAAACAAAACAAACCAAAATAAAAAACAAACTAGGTCTATGGGACCCCAGAGCACTCCCCCCAATTGAGGATTGAACCCAGGGCACTGAGCTGCACCCCTAGCTCCTCCCTCTCCTTCTTCTCCAGCCCATATTTTAAGACAGGGCCTTGTTAAATTGCTAAGGTTTGCTTTGAACTTTCAATCCTCCAGCCTCAGCCTCTCGAAGTCCTGGGATTTCAGACATGCATCACCAGCCACAGGTACTTCTGGAGGCAATTCTGAGGGATACCAAAAAACCAGGCCTTGAGAAACACTGCACTAAAGGCATTGTGTGGTCTATGGTACTGCATTTAATGCTCATAGCCTATTTAGTATGTTCCCCACTCGGCAATGGCGAACCTTTTGAGCTTTCAATGATACAGGTTCGCCACCACTTATGCCGGGGACCTCTTGCTTGCGGGAATGCAAGGTTGAGGAATCACGACGCGCAACCGTTTCCAAAAAAATAAAAAAGGTTGCCATTAGGGCACAGGTGGAACCCAGGACTCTCTCGGAACCTCTTTACTCGGGAAAGACAGTTGCGGGGGAACTCTAGTCTCGAAGGACCCAGAGCTGTAAAGGGACGCTTCACCCGAAGGACTGCCTCGTTTCAACAACAACTTTATGGATCGCGGAAGTGCCTCCTCCCCATCCCCTTCCCAGCCTCCAGTCCACGGGCTGCAGTAGGAGCGATGGCGGCGGAAGCCGCCCGGCCTGGTCCAGCATTTGGACCTGGCGACTCCCCCGAAGGGCCCGAGGCTGATGCCCCGGAACGTCGGCGGAAGGCGCACGGGATGCTGAAGCTTTACTACGGTCTCTCGGAGGGGGAGGCTGGGGGGCGCCCCTCCGGGCCGGACCCTCTGGACCCGACTGATCTCAATGGGGCGCACTTCGACCCGGAAGTGTATCTGGACAAGGTGTGTGTGGAGGGGAACGTCCAGGGCCCCAACGTATTGGACCCGCAGATCGTGCCTCCGACTTCGTTGAAGGGGGCAAGGGAGCGGGGCTTCATAGGATAAGGGCTCTTGGCCAGGCTGCAGGGGCAGAGCTTCAGCCTAAGGGCGCGTGGGCAGGTTTGGACTGACCCAAGTTGGCGTGGGGTCTGAGGTCTGGCTGCTGAAGTTTCCTACTGTCCTGGGTAGGGGTGAGGCCCAAGCTCTGACGGGGCGGGGCTGGGTAGTAACCACTGAAGTATGGCACTTGTACGGTCCATATCTGAGGTTCGTGAAAGCAGTAGGATCAGGGTTTTCTTGCACCCGAAATCCTGCCAGTCGGGGACCAGGCTAGGGAACAGCGATCCTAAGCGAGCACTAACTCTGAGCACTAACCGCCCTACTTCTCTAGCTGCGAAGGGAGTGCCCCCTGCCCCAGCTCATGGACAGCGAGACGGACATGGTGCGGCAGATCCGGGCTCTAGACAGCGACATGCAGACCCTGGTCTATGAAAACTACAACAAGTTCATTTCAGCCACAGGTGATCCGCGCTGTCCCCCCCCCCCCCCCCCCCGCCACAGTCTTAATTTCTCCCTGCCAGTTTTGGGAAAGCCAGCAGGGATTTAGAGGGAGGTGAGCCAGATTCCAGTCCTGCCCTGACATCAATGCACTGTCACCTCTCTCCCTCTGGCTTTTGTGGTCAGACCAGTATGGAGATAATATCTGCTCCTAGGGCTTGGTTTGGGAACCAAGGGGGAGTAAGGATAAAATGAGATGAGTTTGTGTAAGAATTTGACCAGTATGTACTCAGCCCAGGAAGCAGGCTCCAAGGGCCTGACTTCGGTCCATAGAATGTTCCGTGAGCACGGACTGGGATTACGTCCTCATGTGTGGCCCTCTCTTAGTGTCACAGTGCTGGATATAGCACACTCACCGTTCTTTTATCAGGTTTGAAGCAAGTGAGTAGGCACTGGTCTGCTTGCTAATGCCAGCAAATGACAGGACATAATAATTTAATGGGCTGAAAAATTTCTCATAGAAGTTTCACAAATACTACATTTTCACATTTGTTGGAATATGCATGTTTTGACCCTTAGCTCTTGCTTAATAGGGATGGTTTGGTTTTTAGAATTTTTTCCTATGAAGGGAGAAAATTACAAAATGAGTGTTAGGAATATTAAAGACTATGAATTGTGGTTTTGTTTTTGTTTTGTTTTATGAATTGTTGTTTTGTACATTGGGGATATAGCAGTGGACCCACCAAAGTTCCTGTTCTAGTTTTATAGTTGAGGCCACTGAGGTTCAGAGAAGGAAGGTTACTAAAAGTCACACAGGGCTGGGTGTGGTGGTGGCACATGCCTGTAATTACAGCATCAGGAGACCAAGGCAGGAACATCACCACAAGTTCAGGCCAGCTTGGATTACATAGTGAATTCAAGGCCAGCCTGAGCTACATAGTGAGACCTTGTCTCAAAAAACTGAGAACAAAAATAAAAGTTCCTGCCTTTTAGAGGCCACATTCTAGTTGGAGAGACAATAAATAAATATATCAATAAAGGTAGTAGTGCTGCAAGAAAGACAGAGGAAGAGACTGATGGCATGTGTGGTCCAGCTTTAGTGAGGGTAGTATGGGAAAGTTCTCTGAGGTGTGACATTTGAGCAAGGCCTTGGGAGACAGAGCCAGTGTGGAGAGGAAGGGCTGAGGCAGGAGAGGCAGAGGCTGGAAGAGCAAGCCTGATGTGTTCCAGTGCAGCATGGAATCCAGGGCATGCAGGATGGTACAGGGCAGAGGGTTAGTGGGGATTGGGTAAGGAAAGTCCTGTAAGTGGTGGTGAGAATCTGCTTTTTACTGAACAGAAGAATGAATGAACAGAAGAATGGGGTGGCAGGGCACAGTGGTACACACCTGTAACCCCAGCATTTGGGAGGCTGATACAGGAGGATTGCAGTGAGTTTGAGGCCAGCCTGACTGCATAGTGAGTTCAAGGTCAACCTGAACTATGTACATAGTGAAACTCTGTCTCAAAATAACAAAAAGTAAACAAACAAAAAAACTAGAGGGATGGGGTGAGCTGAATCCTCCCCTCATCTGTACTGGGGACTGAGCCCAGACTTCATGCTAGGCAAAAACTTCACACCCTATCCCTTTTATCTATTTTTGTTTTGTTTTGTTTTTAGACAGGGTCTCACTATGCCCCCCGTTCAGGCTGGCCTTGAACTTAGTACGTAGCCCAGGCTGGCCTCAAACTCCCAGCAACCCTCCTGTCTCAGCCTCCCGTGTGCCGGGATTACAGGCATGTGCCACCATGCCCAGCTAGCCCTTTCTATTTTGAGACAGGGTTTTACTAAGTTGTCCGGCAGGCTTGGACTTATGATCTTCCTGCCTCAGCCTCCTGAGTAGCATGAGCCACTTATTCATGACTTATTACTTATCTATTTTTTAAATTTTATTTTATTTTTGGTACTGGGGATTGAACTCGGGTCCTTGCGCTTGCACAGCAGGTGGCAAAACCACTGAGCTAAATCCCCGTCCCTCTCTTTATTTTTTAAATATTTATATTTTGTTTTTTTAAGACAGGGTCTCACTATATAGTTTTGGCTAGTTTGGAACTCACTAGGTAGTCCAGCCTTGCCCCAAACTCAAAGTGACCCTCCTGTCTCAGCCTCCCGAGTTCTTGGATTATAGGTGTGCACCATCATGCCCAGTAAGGCTGCTTCTTTGGTGGTGGGAGCTACCGACAATGGAACTCAAGGGCCTGCGCTTGCCAGGCAGGTGCTGCGCTGCTGAGCTACATCCCTGGCCCAATATTGCTTATTTTGAAGGAAAACACTGGGAAGGAGCAAGTTGGGATGGGCAGCAAAATTCAGGAGTTCCATGTTGGGGCTTGTCAGGTTGAGACACCTGTTAGACAAAGAATCTGGAGTTCAGAAGAGAGGCTGGAGTTCAGGGTATGTGGAACAAGATGAGAGATGACCTAGGGAGGGGCTGTGGAGAGCAAATACATTTTGAAATGAGTGTTGGAAGTCATGAAAACAAGATCACACAAGGGCAGCAGACATTCGGGGAGGTTTGGGCACATCCAGGAGCATAGGTTTCTTCAAAGCTAAATGAAGAAAACTTTCCAAGAAACAGAGTTGATGAACGTGGGCAAGATACTGAGGAGGGAGTGTGGCCTTTGGTGAGACAAAAGTGAGGGGAGTTGGAGCAGTGTGCACATGCAGGGCATGGCCTTTGCAAAGGGTCAGGAGCTCCTCTACTATGGCAGGAGGAGGAGCACGTGTGCAGGTGCAGTGGAGTTTAACCAGAGACCTCCCGGGACATGTTAGGGGTTTTCTATTATCCCTAGAGTGCTGAGCCAAATGTTTTAGAGAAATGAGACATGTGAGGAGATTTGTGTTCTGAATAGATCCCTGAAGCCACACTGGGGGAGGTGGCAGGAACGAGGCTGTTGCAGTAGTCCAGGCCGGAGATTCTGGGAGTGGGCATCAGCATGGTTGTGATGGGCAAACCGGAAAACATTTGGGGGCAGTAGTGACCACCAGAGGAGCTTTGCATGAAGAGAACGAGCCCTAGGTTCCATGTTAAGGACTACTTGGAGGATATAGCAGCAGACAAGGTAATTTTGAGCTGTCTCATATTGTACATATGTTCTAGAGAAAGAGATGGATCATAAGAAAGCTAAGGTTATTTCCCTTGAGAAGCACTCCTGAGAAAATAAAATGATATCTTGCAGAATAGCTAGTAGGGATTATTTTAGAAAGGGTGGTAGGAAAGGTTTTTTCTGGCTGGTCATGGTGGCACAATGACCCAGCAGAATGACCCAAACTGAGGAAACAGCATGTGCACAGGCCCCGGGAAAGCTCTCTAGTGTGAAGAGAGCAGGAATGTTGGCCAGGAAGGGAGTGGAACCTGATCACAGACCAGGGGTTGGTTGGTAAACTTTTCCTGAAAAGGACCATAATAAATACCTTTCTGGGCCATCTGGTGTCTGTTGCAGCTACTCAGCTCTGCCATTGTAGCCTGAAAGCATCCACAGACACTGTGCAAATGAATGAGCTTGGCTGTATCTCAGGAAGACCTCCTTGGCATAAATAGGTGGTGAGATTCTGGAGCAACCTCAGCAAAAATAATGGGTGAAACACATTTGCTGTCTCTTTCTTCCATAAAAGCATGAGAGGGGCCAGGGATTTAGCTCGGTGGACTTTGCCTGCTTTGTAAGCGCAAGGTCCTAAGTTCGACCCCTGGTACCAAAAGAAAAAGGAAAAAAAAAAAGCATGAGAAAAGTGGCCCAAATAGTCAGAAATAACATCTTCAGAACTGTGGAAATTAACCAGGGTTCACTGTAATCTAGCCAGCAAGAAAAATGACTGAACCCTAGTAAGAATAGCGAATGCTGTGGTATTTTAACTGGCTTTAGCCAGGTGAGGTGTGCATGCCTGTAGTCCCAGGACTCTTGGGAGGCTGAGGCAGGAGGATCATCGTGAGTTCGAGGCCAGCCAGGCTCCATAATGAGTTCCATAGTGAGTTCAAGGCCAGCCTGAACTACATAGTGAGACCCTGTCTCAAAAACAAAAACAAAAAACTTGATTTAGCCCTGCTTCTTGCTCTCCAGCTCTTTCAGCTCTAGCCTTGAAAATAACATCCCATATTTCTGGTATTGGATGGAACTGAAAAGAGATGGAGCTCTTTCAAAACCTCATGCCCAAGGAATCACCACTGTTTGGTGTGTCTAGTGGTTTCCTGAAAGACTTACTCCACAGGCTTGTCTTTATTTGATCTTACTTGGAGGTTGCCTGTTGCTAAAAACCTCTCACCCCAGGGTTCTGGTCAAAATAGTACCAGGCAAGTGTCCTCCTGTCTGGGTTGATGGATAATAGCTGCGGCAGAGGATGGACTAACAAAAACCCCAAGAGGACAAACTAACAAATGAGGTGTCCATAGGGACTTTGAAAAGCTCTGATATGGGGCCGGGGATTTAGCTCAGTGGTTCCGGCGCCTGCCTTGCAAGCGCAAGGTCCCAAGTTCGATCCCCAGTACCAAAAAAAAAAAAGAAAGAAAGAACAAGAAAAGCTCTGACATAATCCTGGGAATCTGGAAGACCACACACATTTGTAGGGCTGTGTGTGCTGAGGCAAGACCTGAGGATGCCCTCTGGGTCATCCTGAGGCTCTGCACAAGCAAAAGTGAAGGCCAAGGCTGCAGTTGTAAACTGCCTGACTGAGTATTTATGGTGCCTGAGGACACACATACACAGCCCCTCAGCAAAGACTATTAGCTTTATTTGTTCCAAGCTATTAAGGAAATCTCTCCAATCATTATCTGATCACTAAGTTAATCAAGTAAAGACATCAGTAGTGACACACAACAAAAAGCACAAACTTTATAGAATTTGTTCAGAAATTAATTAGTTCTGTTTTAGTAATTCAGAAAAACCACTAAACAGACAATAGCAACTACAATAGGCAGCAATAATGATAAACCTGAGGAGGGGGGAAGATCCAATTTCCAGAGCTGCCATATTATATTTTCAAAATGTGTTA